CCCGACATCTTTAACAACTATGTTATAATGGGTTTTAAAATAGACTATCAAAAATTAAAATATCAAATATATATATATATATATATATATATACATATATATATATAACTTCAACACTACTGTATTTTAGTACCATTAATTATTATTATTAACGTATTCAATACATTTAATAAAAATATTATTTATATCTCATAAACATTTAATTTCAATGTCTACTATATGAGAAAGAATTAAATATTATTTCTCTCTTAAATATCATATTTTAAAGATTTCTCCAAATTTAAAGATTTCTATCTATTATCTCTTCTTTTCTTTATTTTTTACATTCATGATATCGTAAAGAGTAAAAAAAATTACTAAAATTTCACCTTTTTTTATTTTAATATAATTATTGGAGATGCGCTACCAGAAAACATTGTCCATGCCACACGATATGGATTTGGTTCATAAGGATTATCCGGTTCTAGTTTCTTTCAATTGTTTTTGTATTTTGAGAATAAGTTTTATATATTAAATTATAATATCTTTAAAAATTTAATGAATAAAATATATTTATAATAATTTTGAAATATACATCGATAAATTTATAATCTTTTAACAAATAATATGTTTATGTTGAACGATTTTCTTAAAATTTTATTTCTTATTACCGTAATCTTTAATTTTATTGTGTTGTATTTTAATTATCTTTATCTTGATGTTGTGTACTTTCAAAAATATAATTTTTAGTTTTGTAAATCATCGACCAAAAGAAATTATAGGTTTATGGAATCTTGGGGAGGAAAAGAGACTATTCTGGCAAATAGTGAATCGGTATATCATTTCCATACTTTTTTTTTGTTACATGAACTTATCAAACGCTGGAGATGACAATAGGGTCGAGTTGGGTACTGAGGACCTCCAATCCCTCTTCCCATCCTCGATGGAAAATAGGGATCTCGGCAGGACTCAAAGATTTATACGCATCTACACAATTGCATATTTTATGATGACCACAAAAATTGCATAGCTAAAAACCTTAATCACCTAAATTAAATTTATATATTGGTATAATAGTAACATTAAACATCAAGATCAAAGAGACAATATCGTTCTCTTCATTGAGGGTGAGGGAAAAAGGATATCATAATGAACTCTTGACCTTGCACGTATTGGCAAAACACAAGAACTAAATCGTGGAAAGTATAAAATATAGGGGAACATTTAATGTTATATATATATATATATATATATATATATATATTAGGTTTGGGCATCGTCACCGGGATTCCCGTGGAGCATGAGGGTTTCTATTAGCATTTCTAGTTGTAGAGGGAAAAGGAGAGAAGGCCGACATCTTTTTTCTTGACCTATAATTGACTTTTTAATTGCAATAGCAACAACCCCATCTCACCTTATTCAACAAAACAACTCAAAAACATATTCGTGAAGCAATTTTTTTTAGATCAGGTTGATTGAAACCAACCTGATTAACTTGAAATTTTGTCAACTAATTCTTCCACGACGTTGTGGCTTTGGTCTTGAAAAGATCCCATTTGGGTTTTACCATTAAGGTTCTTGAATGTGAAAAACCATAAAGGAAAATATATAAATTGTCAATCTTTCAAATATTAGACTTAAGGACCATAAAGTAATTGAAGATAAGATTGTACATTAACGATGGATTAAAGGTGGGTTATGTCTTATATTGATAGTAACAAATACAACAATGTTGATTTTAGCATATATATGATTGCATAAAGAGTAATGATAAAGATTGGACTTGATTACCAAATGATGTCGAGAAAGAAGTTGAATCGTTTCCACAATACATTTAACTGCTTATTGAATTGAGATTAAGCAATCAATTTAACCAAAATATTTTTGGAATAACACAACAGACATCATAAATCCTAATCGATATTTTGGGTAATAACTATTGCAACACTAGTTTTCTTAACAATTAATCTCAAACTTTCCATAAATCTAAGCACGCTCACCTCTAATCCTTCTGGCCAACTGGATGTCCTTCGGCGTAATCGTCACCCTCTTAGCATGAATCGCACACAAATTGGTATCCTGAAACAAGCCTACCAAATAAGCCTCAGCCGCCTCCTGAAGCATCTCCACAGCGCTGCTCTGAAACCTCAGATTCATCTTAAAATTCTGAGCGATCTCTTTCACAAGCCTCTGAAATGGTAATTTCTGAATCAAGAATCCAGTATTCTTCTGGTACATGCGAATTTCCCTCAGAGCCACTGTCCCAGGCCTAAATCTGTGTCGCCTCTTTACTCCTCCGATTGTGGGAGTTATAAAGGCTGCCCTACGTATTATCTCTGATGGCAACTTTCCACCCATAGATTTACGAACCATTTGCTTTGTTCGAGCCATTTTCTTAGCGTAGAAGAAATTGGTTGTGTGTGTGTGGGGCTGTATACAATGAGATCGGAATAGTGATGCCAATTTCTGTCAGAATCGTATGGCTTTTATAATGGTTCTTGTGAAACAACTGGGACGATGAGAATTTTGATGAATTTGGTGGTGAGTATAGTTGGAGAACAAACTGGCCCTTAGATTCTTGAAAGACAAATTAAACGGTTGAGATTTGATAGTAAGCGAAGACACGGATCGTGATCCATGTCTTCAAAGATAAAATTGTATTTTCTAGAATTTCATTTTTTTATTGTAAGAAATACAATAATATGTTTTGATTCATCCAAAAAAAAAAGAGTAAACTACATTTTTGGTCCTTGTGGTTTGTTAGAAGTTAGAGTAAGTTACATTTTGGGCTTTATTATTGCCACTTACTATCAAAGTTTCGTTCCTCCATTGAAATAATTACATTTTTGGTCGTTATGGTTGTCATTTGTTCCACTTTTTGTCCCTATAACTAATTATTGTTAAATAAGTCCCTTCACTCATAGGTATTTTGGCCTTTTTATTATTTTCTAATTTTAGGTGAAAATTTAGTATATATTATTATTATGTTAATAGGGAGGAATATGCGAGAGACAAGTTAATTTGCGAGAAGGCCAGAAGAAATATGAGTCACACAACTTATCAGTACACTTAGGTTTCTCAATATCACCCAATAAGGGAACTCGAAGTTGTATTTTAAGCTCATTAGTCGTCTCTTCAACATTAAGTTTTGACGTTAAAAGATGTTGTTAAGACTTTGTGTAGAATCATTGAGAAATGTTCAAAATAGTTAAATGTTTCAGTTCATTCTATAATGAGTGTAGGGGGTGAAAATGTGTTGTTAAAAATTATCTCCTTGAAAACTCCTACAATATCACTATGCCCTTCCTAAGATTGATCAAAAGTGTATGAATAAGTGTTAATCATATCTCTGTAAGGAGGTGTCGGTGGTATGAAAGTGCCATGATTTTTACTATTTGAAAACAAATTGGGTTGCTCCTCCCGTGATTAAGTGAAAACATTAAAGTGTGATGTATCACAATTATTATTTTCCATGCAACAATGGGATCACTATGACAGATATAACCTATTGCGAAAAAGTCGTCGCTAAAGATCTAAAGTTTGCCGCTATAGGTCTATTGAGACGACTATCGTCGCTCTAGAGCTTGTCACTGTTGGTCCATAGCTGTAGCGACGACAATCAACGCTAAAAACTAAAGATTAAAAATTCTAATTATTGTCTACTGCGACAACATGTTGTTGCTATAGATGAAAAATTAAAAAATAAAAATTTATCTACTGCGACGATATATCGTTGCTATAGGTGAAATTTTAAAAATTCTAATTTTTATCTACTGCGACGATAATAAATTTATTAAAACAAAAATTTTGCAAATTATTAATAATTGAAGACATATACTGGAATATTTGTTGTTACAAACCAGTAAATCAATTTATGGTTGGAATACATTTGACTAATTTACAAAAGCAAATATATGGTCATTTTGCGAAACAAGCCACTTTTTGCAGTATGAGTTGTACCTAAACAACAAATCATGAACACAATAAAAATTTGAAAATCCAATCATTTTTGTAGACATTAATAAGCACAACATGAATGTTAGGACTAAAATTCAGTATTAAATTGTATTCGTCTTAAAAGTTAATTTTGTCTATAATTATATTAAAAGTCACCGTGCAAACTCATTAGTTCCACAATTTGAGCATAGGATTCTTCTTTTGCTGAGACTGGTCAATTGATTAGTAGATCTCACAGTGCAAGGAAGAACAATATTAGTAACAATAGATTTATGAGACACAACTGAATCAGCTTTATTAACCCAAACTTGTTTAACATTTGAAAAATTATTGGGTGATCCAATGACATACCCTTGATAAAACTGATTTGAAGAACGAGACTTGTTCTTAGAAACAGTTGATTTAGGACTGCTTGAATAACTGTTGGATTTAACACTGGAACAGTTATAAAAGCAAGTTTTATACTGAGATTGAGAACCAGTTGAGCTTTCAGCTCTTGAAAAGTCTGTTATTTTCTTAAGTAACTGGTCTCTCTCATCAGCAACTAAATCATACTTCTTCTTAAGTTCAGATCTCATATTCGATTCAGTTACAAGTTCTGTCTCTAGATCAGACAATTTCTTTGCAGTATCCAAAAACTTACCTTCTAATTCTTTCTTCAGTTTATCAAACACTTTCCTTTCTTTCTCAAACTTCTTTCTTTCTTCATCTGAACTTCCCTTATCATTCTCAGAAGCAATGTCAAGCCACTTCTTCTTTTCTGTAAGTTCTTTGGCAATTGCTGCATGTTTCTTGACAGTGTTTTTCTTTTCAAGAGCAAACAATTTTTTCTCTTCATCTAGTGCTTTCTACTTTTGTTCAGCCTCATTCTTTTCTTTATCAACCTTGGCTCGTTCTAAAATGATAAGTTGTTCAAAATTTGAGATTTGATTCAAAAGAAATTTTGCATTCAGCTCAAGAGAATTGATCTTATTTTCATAAGATAAGCATTCAACATCAAATCGTTTCTCTAATTCAATAAATCTCTTTTTCTCTTTTTCAAAAACTGTTCTTTCAACATTAAAATTCTCTTCAGCTTCCAAAACCTTTTCCTTTTAGCTCAATCAGATCACTTTCAGACTTATGAAATTTATCAGTTAAGTCACTAGTCTCAGTATGTTTTCTACTTGGAGAATTTCTTTCAGCTCTAAATTCACTTTGGACTTTTTGGAGTTTGTTAAACAGATCTTTATTAGATTTACTCCATGTTTTCAATTCATTATCACAATCTTTTCTTACATCATCCAAAGATTTTTCAAGTTTATTAATCCGATACTTGGAATCATTCTCAAATCTTTCTAATGCTTCTTTATGCTCTTTTTTGTAAAATTGCAATAAAATCTACGTTAGCATGATTTTCAGAAAACATGTTTATGTATTTGTCTTTATAGTCCACTATACTCTTCTCCAGCTTGGAAATTTGAACTCTCAACTCTTTATTCTCCTTCTCAAGAAAAGCTGCCATTAAAAAAAATTCAAAATTGATCAAATAAAGAATCTATGCAGTTCAAGAAATTGATCAAAGAAATACAATCTGGTCAAAAAGAATGTTCAACTAAAATATACTCTGGTCAAGAAAAATATACTCAAAATGTCAATAGACAAAAGAACACTGGCAAGGCTCTTAGCAAAAATTAGGCTAGGCTCAAACAGATCATGTAATGAAAAAGTGTATAAATCGCTCAAAGGTGTGTCTAAGCTCAAGACTAAGTCTAAATCGCCCAATGAAGTGCCTAAATCACTCACAACTAAGCTTAAATCACTCACAACTAAGCCTAAATCGCTCACAACTAAGCCTAAATCGCTCACAACTAAGCCTAAATCGCTCACAACTAAGAACTAAATCGCTCACATTATGAACTAAATCGCTCACATTATGAACTAAATCGCTCATCTTGAAACTACACTAAGTATAAATCGCTCAAGGCCTAGTGCCTAAATCGCTCATTGCTTATACTAAATCGCTCAATGCTATGTCTAACTCGCTCAAGCCTAAGTCTTAATCGCTCAAGACTTGTGCCTAAATCGCTCAAGACATGTGTCTAACTCGCTCAAGGATGAACCTAAATCGCTCAATGCAATGTTTAACTCGCTCAAGCCTAAAACTAAATAGTTCAAATCTAAGTCTAAATCGGATAGGTTTCAAGCGATTTGCTCACTTATCCGTTCAACTCCAAGCGATTTGCTCACTTATCCGCTCAACTTCGCTTAACTCTTAGGCGATGTGATCTTGTATCCGGTCAACTTCGCTCAAGTCTTAGGCGATGTGATCCTGTATCCGGTCAACTCCGCCCAAGTCTTAGGTGATGTGATCCTGTATCCGGTCAACTCCGCTCAAGTCTTAGGTGATGTGATCCTGTATCCGGTCAACTCCGCTCAAGCCTAAGATTAAGACTAAGTCTAAATAGTTCAAAGCTATGCCTAAATCGATCAAAGCAACTACGATTTCCCAATTAATCCGGTCAAGATATGTGCAAGGAATCTTGAATTTGGTTAAGTTGAAAATCATCACAAACACAAAATATTCAACAAATTTTACCAAAATGGATCAAAAACCAGATTTTATGAGTTTTATTCAAGAACACCAAGATTTTCTAGAAATCACAAAATTCATCAAATCTTTAAGATGGATGATTAAAACAAGAAATCTTGTGAATAATAAAGATTCACAATCCAAAAACGCACACAACGATCATCTTTTTAACATACAAACACAAAAAGATGAAAGATTTGAGTAGAAAGATATGAAAACCATGAAGAACACATCAAGAACATATTATGAAGATGAAGAACAGAATCTGAATTTCYAGAAAATTTTCAACTCTTTGATGAAATCTTCAATCAATCTCACTGCAAACTTGCTATGATACCAATTGATAGGTCCTTAACAATCAATCTTCAAGTAATCATCAAATCAACAATGGTAGATCTATATAACTCTTGTAAGAACTCTTGAGAGAATAGAGAGAGAAAGTCAACACTCAAAATATGGTCAAACTATTATTACGTAATCTGATTTTTACAATTAAGCTCCTACCAAAATACAAAGGACTTACCCTTTATATAGGGTCAAACAACTAGTCAAAGTCAAAGTGTCTAAGAAAAGTCAAACACGGTGATAATACGCTCGTTTGTATTCAAAGGTTGATTTTTTCTATTTTTTTACCTTGACTGATATACACTTCATTTTTTTAATCAGAATCTGTAAACTTGTTCTTACAGATCTTCATTAATTTCTCTCGCATACCGAATAATCTGATCGTTGTCGCATCATTCCTTTATTGATTGTGCTTAAAAGCCAAATTTCTTGATCAATTTTTATATAGATCATTATGCTTTATCTGAAATAATATTTTTGATCAACTGTGCATAATGCTAAACTTTAGGAGGGACTG